ACTAGTAAGGATCTGAGGGCAAATTTCAACTCAGAAAGATGAGTCTTCCTGACTCCAGGCTCAGGACTCTGTCCACTGCACCACCTAGCTGCCAAATACTGTATACTATTGCTGTATACAATCAATATTTGATCATGTTGATTGTGACATTTTTCAGAAGTAAATGCCCAATCTACACTATTGATCCTATTAACTCAGGATATCGGATATGTTCTTTTGCAAATTGAGCATATGTAGATTTTTTTCTCTCTCTCTTAAAAATCTTTTCTCTTTTGAAATCTACACTTAGCTTCAACAGCATCTCACTTCATTTATTTGACTACATTGTACAAAACTAAAAAAAAAAAACACACCCTAAATAATAGTTCCTCTTTGAGTGATTTCTTTAAGAATCCAAGGATTTATAACAACTCTTATTTTAAAACTTATTTCTACCCCTACCTTGACTCTAACTCCAATACTAATCTTATTAATGGATGATGTTCTCTCTTTCTAGGCTTTATTGCACAAAAGTGCAGATGTTTAAATTTATAGACTATAGTAAACTACTGTTTGATAAACCCAAAGACACAAGCTTCAGGGATAAGAGCTCACTATTTGGCAAAAACTACTGCGAAAACTGGAAAAGAGTATGGCAGAAACTGGGCACAGACTAACATCTTACACCACATACCAAACTAAAGTCAAAATAGGTAAACAATTTAGATACAAAGGCTGATACTATAAGCAAACTGGGAGAGCAAGGAATAGTTTACCTGTCAGATTTATGGAGAACAGAAGAGTTTATGACCAAACTGTGATAGAGAATATTATGAAATGCAAAATGGATAATTTTGATTACATTAAGTTGAAAAGTTTTGCACAAAGCCATTGCAATCAGAATTAGGAAGGAAGCAGAAAAAGGAGAATGAATTTTTACAACAAGTGTCTTATAAAGGTCTCATTTCTAAAATATATAGAGAACTAAGTCAAATTTATAATAATACAAGTCATTCTCCAATTGACAAATGGTCAAAGGATATCAATGGGAAATTTTCAGTGAAGGAATTAAAGGTGTTTATAGTTATATGAAAAAATGCTGTAAGTCACTATTGATTACAGAAATGCAAATCAAAACGACTCTCAGGTATCACATCACACCTAGCAGATTGGCTAACATGACAAAACAGGAAAATGATAAATATTGGGGAAGATGTGGGAAATTGGAATACTAATGTATTGTTGTGGGAGTTACGAACTGATCCAACCATTTTGGAGAACAATTTGGAACTATGCCCAAAGAGCTATAAAAGTGTGCATACCTTTTGACCCAGCAATACCACTTCTAGGGCTGTATCCCAAAGACATCATACTAATGGGAAAAGGACATGTACAATAATGTACGTGTAGAAAAACATTCATAGCTGCTTTTTCTGTGATGGCAAAGAATTGGGAACTGAGGAGATGCCTATCAATTGGGGAATGGCTGAACAAGTTGTGGTATATGAATGTAATGGAATAGTATTGTGCTATAAGAAATGATGACCAGGTGGACTTCAGAAAAACCTGGAAAGGTTGTACGGACTGATGCTGGGCAAAATGAACAGAACCAGAAGAATATTTTACACAGTAATAGCCACATTGTGATATGACTAACTTTTAGCTCTTCTCAGCAATGCAAGGATCTAAGGCATCTCTAAAAGTCTCATGATGGAAAATGCTATCCACATCCGGAGAGAGAACTATGGAGTCTGAATGCAGATTGAAGTATACCATTTGCTCCTTTTTTCCCTTCTGTTTTGTTTTATTTCTTCTTTCTTGTGGTTTCTTCTATTGGTTCTAATTCTTCAACAATTCTAATTTTCACACTATGCCTATGTGAAAATATATTTAATAGGAATGTATATGTAGAGCCTACATCAGATTTTATGCTGTCTTGGGGAGAGAGGAAGAGAGGGAAGGGAAGAAAATTTAAAACTCAAAATTTTATGGAAGTGATTGTTGAAAACTAAAAATAAATAAATTAATAAAAAGGAAAAAAATGAATTTATAGGTTTTTAATATAATAAAATACAATTCCTCAAATGTTTACTAAGTGTTTATTTTGTATAAGTCATTATGGTTAGTGCTGGGGTTACAGAACCAAAAATTAATATTGTCAGCCTTCAAGGAACCAACTTTATACTGAAGGAATATAATGTGAATAAATAAATATATAATAATTGCAAAATAACATAATGTATTTCAAGGGGAAAAGAGTAGAAACTGGAAATCAGGAAAAGTTTCATGTAGGGAGTAGTATTGGATTGGGTTTTAAAGGAAGCAATGGATTTTTATAAGGCAAAGATGGGAAGGGAGTATATTCAAAACCCAGCATTCACATCTGCAAATGTACAGAGGTAGGACATGGTTTTTTTTTAATACAAGAAAAGCCTGAAGAGTGGATTGACTGGAACAAAAGTGGGAATAATATGACATAAAACTGGGGAAATAGCTATATACCTTATTGTAAAGGGATATAAATGTTAGGCTAAGGATTATGCATTTAGTCTATTAAGCAATAAGAAACCTTTGAAGATTCTGAACAGGTAAGTGGCATAGTCAGACCTATGTCTTAGAAATATCAATGTAGCAACTCTGTGGGGGATAGATTAGGTATGGGGAAAGAATATTAGAAGGTTACAGTGTTAGATCAGATAAGAGGTGGATGAGGACTTAAAATATGGCAGAGACTAAATGAAAGGGAGAGGAAAGGAATCATATAGGGGAAGAATTTGCAAGATATGACAAATGACTGGTTGTAGTTGGTGGGGTGATAGAGAAGGAAGAGTCAAAGATAATTCTTTCTTTTTTCTAGTTTTTGTAAGTTGAATTCAGTTCACTTCCATTTTCAGGTCAGTTTTTCTAGTTTCCTAATATATGTATCTGTCATCACCTTTTTAGTGGTTCCCCTTCTTATAACTGTCTTGAGGTATTACTTATTTAAATTTGGAAAGCATTCAGATTTGATGCTATTCTAGTAGTTGGAAAAAAGATTCTGCTAATTGTTCAATCATTAATAATTTACATGTGCTTTCTACATGAATAATATTGCTTCTAGATGCTTTGGGAAATAGAGGGCATATAAGATCCTTTCCCAGCCTTCGAAAATCTTAAAATCTCATTGAGAAAATGAAACATGAACATATGAAAGTTGTGTAACACCATAATGTTTTATGGTGTTATGTGAGTAGTAGAAGAAACATTGAATTCAGAGTGAGAAAACACCTAGATTCAAATACTGCTTTGGAAACTTACTAGATATAAACCCATGAGCAAGTCATTTAAGTTTCCAACCTTAAATTTCCTCACCTAAAAATGGGCATAATAGTACCTATATTACAAACTCCATAAGGTTTTTGTAACGCTCAGATGATATTTAAAAAGTAATAGATAGGGGTAGCTAGGTGGTGCAATGTATACAGCACAGGCCCTGAAGTCACGAGGACCTGAGTTCAAATTCGGCCTCAGACCAAACACTTGGCACCAGGTGTATGACCCTGGGCAAGTCATTTAATCCCAATTGCCTAAAGAAAAAAAAAAGTAATAGGTAAATATAAACTTTTATAATACAACTCCTCCTCTTTCTCCTCCTCCTCCTCCCCCTCCTCCTTTTCCTCCTTCTCCTACTACTCCTATTAAAGCAGAATTCAAACGCTGGTCTTCCTAACTCTAAGTATGATTATATACCAATATGGTTGTAGTCTCCATTCTCTGATGTCTCACTATAGGGTATAGGCAACTTTGGGTTGACAAACTTATTGTCAACAGGACAGTTTCATATTTTATCAAGCAGAGAAGACTTTGTATACCAATCTAGTAATGGATGATGTTTGTCACTATATGAAGTCCAACCTAGATAAACTCATAAAAAATCCATAAACTGCTTATGCTTTGGAATAGGAGGATACCAACTTAAATAAACTTCTACTACTGAAGTCAGAAGTTGTAATCTATTTCAGTGGAGGAAGTATCCAGAGAAATGAAGTTATAAATCATTGGAACATCAGATTATAAGTTGTATATAGTGGTATAGAATATGAAAGTTAAGGGGAGATGAGGAAAATAACACTAAGTTGACTTAAATTATAGTTCAAAATAATAACCTATTCATAGTAACTCTCATAATATCCCTAACGGTTTGTCAGCAGGTCTGTTTCAAATATTTCTGCTTATGGGATGCCTGGCCTTGGAGTCTATGATACCTGGGCGCATATACTAGCTGTGTGACTATGTTCCTTAACCAATGGGCTTTTCCTAGTTCCCCTGGTAATTTGTGTAAGAGTGAGGCTCCATTGATTATCCTACCCTCTTAAAATTACTTTGTTAGGTAAATAACTTTTTTTTTTGATTGAGTCAATTATTTAAAACCAAATATGAACATGGTCTGTATGCCTCCTTGAAACATTCAAAGCCATTGTGTGAGAGTTCCTCATCTCCTAAGATTTAAATGGTCTGGAAGTAAAATAAAGAAGAAAGATTATATAGATCTGAGCCAAGAATCTGTATTAGTTCTTCAACCAGTGAAGGAGGAAGCAGAAGGTAGACAGACTTGAGCTATGACAGAAAAGGGAGATATATGAAGGAGGCTCATTGGCTTAACATGCATCTTAGGAGAAGATTGAAGGTAATCATGAGAAAAGATTAACTTTCCCCCCTATCTCCTTCCTGGTACCTACCTATTGATAGGTACTATAATAAAATTTTCTGTCTTGTAACCACGTATTTCTAGTAAACTGAATTTTGCCTCAACCACAAATAGAACAGGGGTTAATTAGAACTAAATAATTGTGCAGAGAGCCCAACCTTTGCCTACATAGAAAATTTTAGAGTGATTTTTGGTTTTGATTGAACTCATAGTGTTTTTTTTAAACCCATCTTTCACCTTATTCACATTTGTGAGTGCTTCCCATGGTCTCTATTTGGGAGAGAGATCCAGGCCAGCTTTCTTTCATTCCCTTCCCAATCTGCTTCTGACTCACCTGACCCACACACCAACTCAGTGACCATCTTTTCCTGGAACTTGCCTCAGTGTTTGGGGCCATCTAAGCTTGGAATGTCCCTTTATGAAACTGGCTCCATTCTTCCATTGGTTAGCTCTCCTACGGCCCTCACTTTGGAGAGTGATCCAGACTAGCCATCCTTCATTTCTGTCATAGCTGATCTTCTGACTTCACTGACTTCACAATAATGACTCAGCTGCACTCTCATTCTAGAACTTTCCTCAGCATCCGTGGCCTTCTTATCCTGGAATATCCCTTTGCCATGCTATTCAATTGTCCCAATGGTAAGTTCCATCTGGGGCCTCCACTCTGGGAATAGGTCATGTTAGGTGCTGGTAATTAAGTTAGGTATTGTGTAAAAAGGTAGAATTTTAGCGGAGCCTTTTAGGAAGGATTCTAAGTAATGGAGGTGGGGAGGAAGTAGATTTTAGATATGAGTCAGCCTTAGCACAGGTCTGAGATAAGAGATGGAATGTTAAATGTGGGATACAGCAGTTAGGCTAATTTGACTAAGGGGAGTAAAATTCAGTGATTCTGTAAAGGTAAGGTGGTTTTTGATCATGAAAGAATTTAAATTGTAAATGGAGGAGTTTTCATTCTATCCTAGAGATAAGGAGTCATGGTAACTTTTGGATCAGAGGAGTGACTTTCACAAGCAATGAGATATTGGCTATATCCCATACGGTTTTTTTTTAAATAAATATCAATTTTGCAGCTGTGTGGAGGATTGGTTAGAAAGAGTATAGATTAGATTAAAAAGATACCAATTACAAAGATATGATCATCCAGGTGAGAGATGATGAGCTTTCATGACCTCATCAGCTCTCACCTGGATTGTGTCACTCCTTTAATCAAAACCATTATCATCTGGTGGTGATAGTTCTCTATCTATAGCTATCTCTCTATCTCTATCTATAAAAATACAAACTTCTCAACAAATTATTTAGAGTTCCCACAATCTGGCTCTCACCTGACTTTGAAAACCTATTTCATATTATTATGTGTGTACTGTATCTTCCAGCTAAAGTGGTCTATGGGCTATTTTCTTTCCCTGGAAGATTTTCCTTCCTCACTCCTGCCTCTGAGAATCCTTACTTTTCCTCAATGATCATTTCATGTGTCATCCTCTCTGTGTCTTGTTAATGTTCTTCCTCAAGTTTATTAATCCATATGTGCAATAAAATTCTCTCTCTCTCACACACACACACACACTCTCTCTCTCTTTCTCTCTCTCTCTGGTGGCAGGAATTGTTTTCCATTTTTGTCTTTGTATCCCCAGCTCATAACATAATGCCTTATACTTAATAAAAGTCTAGTAAATTTTTATTAAATTATAGATATTGATTTTTTAAAAAAAGCACTTTCCTTGTACCATCCCTGAAACTTTGTGTGAAATCTTCAAATGTGACAAATTAAATATTATTTAATATATTATTCATTTTTAATAGCAAGATACTTATTTAGTTTTCTAGGTGGAAATAATTCTATATTCTCTGAAATGATTGTCCCTCAGAGGTCAATGAAGGGTGTAAGTAAACACATAACAAGGGAACATATCTGTATTTAACTAACTTTATGTACAAATACACGTGTGCATATATGTGTACATATATGTGTGCATATTATATGTGTGTATGGGTATAATATGTATGTATATGTATATTATAATATATGTATATGTATATATTATAAATGTAAGCTCATTGTGAGTAGAAATGATTTCATTGCTTATTTAGTACCTTATTTAATAATTAAGTATATTTAGTACCTTAGACAGTACCTGAAACAGAGTAGGGATTTAGTACTTATTGACTGATGGGAGGACAAGAATGAAGGAGATAATTTAAAAAAATGAATAATTGAAAAAGGAAATGGTTTGGTCACATGAAGAGAACAACAGACAACAGTTCAAAAGTTTTCAAGTTCCACTGGTATCCTCAATATGTCAAGAAAAAGCAAGGGCAGTCTCCAGCATTTTGAGTGGACCCTCTGTAGTAATCTTTGGAAGGACATGGAGGAGAATTTCACAGGGTAAAAACTCATGGAGACAATCTGTATAGTTGGAAGGAGCACGCATATTGACAAGATCACATGCATTTCAGTATTTGACTATTTAAAACATATTAGTTTGCTGCATATATATGGCTCACTTTTTAGAGAGAGAAATGCTAGGGATATAGGAATAGGAACTGATCTGTGAGTTGCTTGGTGTGGCGAATCCCCAATGAGGAACTTTCTCTGCAACTTATAACCTTAGAGAATTGTTAAGGGCACTGGAAATTTAAGTGACTGGTCCTGATTGACACAGCTAGTATGTATCAGTGAAGATATCCAGATCATCCTAGCAATGTGGACAGATTTTCATTTTTTTATGCCACATTGCCTCTCACTGTAAGAGGATTCATATGAAATTATGTACAATGTGTGTGTGTGTGTGTGTGTGTGTATGTAATCTCACCTCCAGCTCCAAGAAGCGGCAGCATGAGCAGTAGCCATATTGCAGTAAAACCATCTCAGCAGATGGGTTAAAACAGGTTGAGGATAACTGATGGGACACAAACCCATTGGTAAGGGGGTTGTTTACCCAAAACATGTGAAGGCTTACCCACATCCCCCAGTGGAATGGGCAGATGAGAACAACTTGTTCCAATGGCCACGAAGGGGGCTGAAACAGAAACTCAGGTGCACTTAGAGTTTGGTCAGACATTAAAGATGGAAAGTTAATCCATTGCATTCCAGGACATCACCAATCATCTTGACTTTTGTCTTGCCACTGGACTTTGATGACTCTGGAAAAGAGTGAGGCTTACAACTTCGTGTAACTGTGTCTTGCTTAAATTCAATTCACATGCATGTCAAGATTTCATCCTGTGATGTCATTGGTCCTCTTCTAAAATGGATAAACAACAATATATTCCATATACACATATATGCTGTGATGATGCTCCATATGCATACACATACACACACACATATACATATATATGCTCAGAAGGTGTTCCGTATTTATGTGTGTATGTGTGTATGCATGTGGAGAGAGTTCTCAAGGAAATCATAGATGGATACCAGTCTTTGAAAACAGTTATCAAAGTGTTAGCAATATCCATTAACAGCAAATGTTTACTTTGCTTTGAAGATGGAAACACATACTGGCATTTGAAAACCTTTAGCAGTGAAATAAGCACTTGTCTTTGAAATCTGTATTCGGGTCATTAGGATGCTGCCAAACAAAACACTTGTTTGCAGAAACATGTTTTATCTGGAAAATTGCTCTTCCCTGTAGATATTCCCGAAGACACAGTTTTACAATGAAGGGAAACGAGCATTACTTTGATCATCACCCAAGAGCATTTTTTCTTCTTAATCTAGTACAGATTGAACTGAATGGGAACCTTGGAAGCCTGGACTTGAATCCCACTTCTAACACTCACTAGTGCTATGAATTTGAACTTCTTTTTGAATGTCTGATTCTTTACCTGTTGAAAAACGTTGGATTTTTTTTTTTGAGTCCACTTTATAGTAGTAAGTTAAATGTGTTTTGTGACACCTGTACTTACCAGGAGGCCTGTCCTTATCACCTCAATATTCAGTGCCTTCCTTCACAAAACATTCTATATCTATTTTGCATTGATTTTGCGTATGTCTATGTCTATTTATGCAAATATCTTCTCTTCTATTTGAATGTTATCTCCTTGAGATCAAGGGTTGTTTTTACTTTTCTTGATATCATCAGAACTTATCACAATACCTAGAAAATGGTCGTTATTATTCAGTCATTTTAGTCATGTCTGACTCTTTATGATTCCATTTGGGATTTTCTTGGCAGATTCTGAAGTGGTTTGCCATTTCCTCCTCCAGCTCATTTTACAGGTGAAGAAAGTGAGGAAACAGAGTTAAGTAACTTGCCCAAGGTCACATAGCTAGTAAGAGACCGAGGCCAGATTTAAACTCAGGAAGATGAGTCTTCCTGACTCCAGGCCTTCCACTCTATTCACTAAGCTGCCCTAAGAAATACTAGTTGACTGACTGATTCACTGATTGATATCTCCTACTATCTTGCTCCTACTCAGACCACAGTGTAGCTTCATTTATCTCTGTTCATCCTGGAACCTTTAGGACCTTGGTTTGGGGGAGGGGAGATTGGCATAGATAGTGCATATAGAAGGTGATGTTAGATACAGAAACATCTTGTGGTATATTAAAAGAGAGAAAAAGAAATTTGCAGGTGGGGAGACACGTCAAGACAAGTTGAGTTAATAAGCTTTTATTAAAGTCTTTATGTTTCAGGCACCATGTTAAGTAGGAGAGATATCAAAGAAGGCAAAAACAGTCCCTACCCTCAATGGGGGAGCTAGCAATATAATGCAAGCAATTCACACAAATAAAATATATAAACAAGGTTTAGACCAGAAAAATTGTACATAATCTCAGAGGAAAGTCACTAATATTAAGGAGGATTGAGGAAGACTTCTTGAAGAAAGGGTGAATTTATCCAAGACCTGAAAGCAGCCCAGGAAGCAAGGAAGCTGAGGTGAGGAGGGTGGGAATTAAAAGTTTTGGGAGCAACCAGTGAAAATATGCAATCTGTTGTGGATTGTCTAGCGGGGGTGGGAGGGAGGGTGGGGGGGTGGTATTATCACTGGATCATCAAGTAAGTGAAGGGAAATAAGGTATAAGAAGACTAGAAAAGTAGGCTAGATTATGAAGGATTTTAAAAACCAAACAGAGAATTTTATATTTATTTTTGGAGGCAATAGGGAGCCAGTGAAGTTTAATAAATATGGAAGTGACATGGTCAGACCTGCACTTTAGGAAGATCACTTTTCTAGGTGAGTGGAGGATGGACTGTATTTGCCACATTTATGCTGGTCTTTCTGTGACTGGTCAATTTTATTGTAATAAGTCTTGGCCAAGGGTATTCATGATAAATTTTCTGAGTTCCCCTCAGTCAGTTTTATGAGATTACAGGGTATGGGTCTTGCCGTCTGAATGAGAGAGAAGTTCCCAAAGAGGAACAGGGCAAAACCCTAGTATGAAGGGCTGACAGGTTCATTTCCACCAGCTTCTTGGCTTGGTTCTTGACTCCACAGACAATGTTTCATGAGTTTCCACTAGGAGAATCCCTTTACTAGAAATCTCATCATCACTTCCTTAGTCTCCTCAGTTTCTTCTCTGCTGTAACTGGAAGGCTAGAGGGCAGAGCAAAAATAAACTGCTCTAAAACATTCCCTTTATAGAAAATGATAAATGTTAGAGAAGATGTGGGAAAATTGGAACATTAATGCATTGTTGGTGGAGTTGCGAACTGATCCAACAATTTTGGAGAGCAATTTGGAACTATGTGCAAAGGGTTTTAAAACTATGCATACCCTTTGATCCATCAATACCACTTCTAGGGCTGTATCCCAAAGAGATCATACAAATGGGAAAAGAATCCACACATACAAAAATATTCATAGCAATTCTATCTGTCATGGCAAAGAATTGGGAATTGAGGGGATGCCCACCAATTGGGGAATGGTTGAACAAGTTGTGATATGTGAATGTAATGGAATACTATTGTGCTATAAGAAATGATGAGCAGGTAGGCTTCAGAAAAACCTGGAAAGACTTGTATGGATTGATACTGAGTGAAGTGAGCAGAACCAGGAGAACATTGTACACAGTAACAGCCACATTGTGAGATGACTAACTTTGGTAGACTTAGCCCTTCTCAGTAATCCAAGGATCTAAGACATTTCCAAAAGACTCATGCTGGAAAATGCTATCCACATCCAGAGAAAGAACTATGGAATTTGAATGCAGATCGAAGCATGCTATTTACTTTTTTTTCTATCTGGTTTTGTTTCTTTCTTGTGGTTCCTTCCATTGATTCTAATTCGTCTTTACAACATGACTATGTGAAAATATGTTTAATAGGAATGTGCAAGTATGGCTTATATCAGATTGCATGCAGTCTTGGGGAAAGAGGCAGGGAGGGAGGGGGAGAAAATTTAAAACTCAAAAGCTTATGGAGTTGAATGCTGAAAACTATAAATAAATTAATATAAAAACATTCCATTTATAGAGGGCTCTCCAACTGCAAGGTGATTATTTTGATAATTTTCTTTTCCCCAGAAAACATATTGTCAAGGAAACCTTTTTGTAGACTGTTGTCCTCACACCAGCCCCCCACACTGCTGGCCCCCCTTTCAGCTTCCTTTTGTGTATATTTTGTCCTCCCTAATTAGATTGTAAGCTCCTAGAGGTCAGAGACTATCTTTCTTTTTCTGATTTGTACCCCCAGGCCTTAGCACAGTGTGTGGCATATAGTAGGTACTTAATCAATGTTTATTGCCTATTGACTATTTAGATTTGGATCTTGCCAACCCCTCAAAGTATTGTTATGAGATGCTCAGATGATTCAAGTCCAAGGTAAAATTAAAGTCTTTTTTTTTTTTTCCGAAGAGTGACATAAAATATTTTAAATATTCAGGGCAAGTCTAATGAATAATACCATTTGTCTGTATGTTTTATTTTTTAAGAGAAATTTTATGGTTTCCTATGAATCTTTTAATTTTCTGTAATCAAAATAAAGACTGCTTAAAATCCCAAACTCAGTTGGTGTATTGAGCACTTTTGATGATGGCAACTCCTTATCATACTTAGGGAGACCTAGAAGTTAACTATACTTAATCTTTATTTAATAACTTTGCTCAGAATTTCCAAGGGGCAAAGACTGAAACATGCTGAACTCTTGAATTGAGGATCTATCACTCCAATGTTTTAGTTGGAAGACCAGAGAGGGAAGAATTGAGCTGTTTGTATAGACTGAGAATTGATGGAAGTACCATTTGTTACAAAAAAAGAGGCTAGCATTTTGACTTTCACCATTCTATCTAATCAAATTGTTACTTGCTTAAATCTTGGATACAAAGTTGGGGTCCTGCTTCCCTCCAATAATGAAAAAGCAATCAAAAGTTAGCTTGTCTAATCACGTCTCCTAGACTAACAATATTTAAGGGAGCAGATAGATGTAATTCTAACCTGGTACCCTTTCTCTCAGAACAGAGCAGAATCATAGCCTCTGGCTCCAACTAAATTAAAATCTCCCTTGGACAAGGGTGGGGGGTAGAAAAACCTAGAGATATCTAATCTGCCTCCCTGTGTGCCACAAAGTAACACCCTCATGTCATATGTTGAGGATGGCCCTTGCCACACATGAAGGATTTATTAAACATGGGGGCCCCTTACACCACTACTACCACCACCACCATCCATCATCCCCAATGACTAGTGCTATTACTACTACTGTGGCTGCTACTACTAATTCAGCTACTATTATGTTAGTACTCTAATATTGCTGCTATTCTTACTACTGCCTTACTAGTACAATTGCTGCTGCTTCTGCTACTACTATAACTACTGCTGCTATTGCTGCTGCTGCTCCTCCTCCTCCTCCAATTTAAAAATAAGCCTCACTTGGCCTTGACCCAGAAGGCTGTGTCTTCTGTCTCCTTAAATTCCTTGAGACATAGAAAACAATTTTGATAGTTCAGTAGCCGTGTTCATGAAGCAATATTTCCCTAGTAGTATTTCTCAGAGGGAAATATCATACTGAAAATCTGCTGCTAGCTCTTTTTGGTTATTTTACCCCAACCCAACCATCTACCTCTTTACAGGGCACAGTGTCATGAATATGTGCATTTGATCACAGAAGAAGTACACTTTTCCTCAGGAGAAATCAGTTATTCAAGGCAAATGTTTCAATTGGCATAGAACTATCAATAAAAAATAGAGTTCCCTTGAGAAATATTAAGCTAAAAGAGAGTTTTATACTAGTTCATTTTCTAAAGTTGCTGTTCTTGACTGACCTATACCCTAGGATGTCCCCAGTGGAGAATGGAATATTTTGCATATTGATATAATAAGAAGTCACTTTTAATTAATCTCCTCACCCCTACTAACCAGCCCCGCTCCCAGGAAAACCTAACATCACCAACATTACATTTCATCAAAGGCAATTTCACTAATTTTAACGTATGATAAGTAAAATTTTTGTATTAAACTACCTCCTATACAGTGATGACCTTTTTTAACTTTGGTACTTCTGGAAAGAGTAATGAATTTAGAGCCACAGAACCTGAGTTTGAATCCCAGTTCTATTATTTGCTGCTTGTGTGACTTTGCACAACTGAGTTTAACTCTGGACCTGTTTCCTCCTCTTCAACTTAAAGTTTTTAATTATTTGTGCTGTAAGGTATTTCTTGGCCAACTAGATGGTGCAGTGAAGAGCGTGCTGGGCCTGGAGTCAGGAAACCTGAATTAAAATTGGACTTCAGGCATTTAATAGCTGTGTGACCCTGGGCAAGTCACTTAACCCTGTATGCCTCAGTTTTCTGATATGTTAATTGAGCTGGAGAAGGAAATGGCAAACCACTCAGTAACCTTGCCAAGAAATCCCAAACGGGGTCATGAAGAGTCAGATACAACTAAAATGAATGAACAGCAATAAGGTACTTCTTGATCCTATGAATGCTTCTTTTAAAAAAATGAAATTAATTGTTTTTAGTAGGCATAGTGACTACATGCATTAGTAAGGTCAATGAAAATCTGGAGAGAAAAGAATTAATAGCTGGACAGAAAAAATATTAGAAAAAAAATAATGAAAAGAGAACAGAGGAATCATCAATAACAGTGCTATGGAACAGAAAAATATTTTGTAATTCTGAAGCCTTTTTTGTTTTTCTTTTTGACAGTTTCACTATATTCCGTACACCAACATGCATTTTGTTGTTGATGTAAGTTGCAGTTTGATCATTTCAGTGATGGTAATTTAAAGAAGCCTAGATCTGCCTAACATATAGCACAATTTATTCACTCTTTTGAGGGGAGAGGATTGGAGGTTTGGACCTGTGTTTCCTTGATGCTGGACACTTGGTATGGGCAATCTTCTGTTGTGCAAACTACTTTAACCATTGCAAAACTGCCTCATGTTTGTAACATAGAGTCTTACAGAGTTCCTGCTGGCACCAAGAGCGTAAGAGGCTTGCCCAAAGACTCACAGCTGAAATACGTCAGCAGTGAGATCGGAACTCAATTCTTGCGTTTTAGGCCAGCAGTCATTGACAACTACACTCTTTCTAACTGTATGCATACCATCATCACCATCATCATAACTGACATTTCTATAGTGTCTTAAGATTTCTAAAGCGTTTCAGTCATGTCATTTAATCTTCATTGAACAATGCTACCTATATTAAACAATTACAACTAAGCAAGGTATAAATCCAGAAACCAGGTTGGTGAATAAATACAACACTGTATTAAGCAAGTACCTATGAGGCTTTTTTTTTTTTATAAAAGAAATGCCTCAGTCAGTGAACAATAGTAGATGATGAAGGTAATGATTACTTTGGAAGCTACTTCAATTGGCTATGTAACTTTTAAATTTTGCTCTCTTTCAAATGAAAGAAAACAGGCAAGACTGAAAAATTCCATTTATATTAGTGTTTGTTTGCTTTGCATTTCTCAAAAACACACATACTCCTTCTCACTCTTCATGTTTCTAACTGTCCTTATGGACTTTGTAATAAATATTGGATGCAATCAGGAAATCATATACACTGAGCCCCCAGTGAGATAGGCAAAATATTAACAACATCCTCTACTGAAGGCTTGCAACTACATGCATAAAGTGAAATAGGTTTAGCTATCATTTCCTCTCCAGTACCTTAAAATAGAAAGGAAATAAAATGAAGGGGGAGGGAAATGTATTGCTTATTTTCTTTTTCTTGTTTGTTTATTCTCATGATTTTTAGAGACTCCCTACTCTTTTGAGTCCATGATAAAGGTTCGTATACAAAATTAGTTTCTCAAGAGGAAAGGACATAATTTTATTCATATAAAATTTCACCATGACTACTCTGAAAGTTAGCTTAATGTTTCATTTCCTTATAACCCATGTTGAAACAGCAGCCCCTCGGTCACTCAGTACCTTGGGGAAGATGGAATTAAAAGCCCACTGCCAAGGATGGAATTGCCAGCACATTGTTTAGCCCCCAGCATATTATTTCATATTCCTGCCATTCATCTATATTCAGTCTATTTAATTTTTGCTCCTTTTTTTCTCCCTCTCAGACACCCAGTACAATTCTACTTTTTCCCCTCTCTCTCTGCTTCCTTCCAGAAAGCATTGCTGAAATGTCATGTCAGTGCAATTTGATAACCTGAAACACCACAGGACCGAGGTGACTCACCAGATTTGGAGCAAACACAGGCTAAAAATATGACCAGAATGGAAGGCCTCTGAATTTCCATTTTTTTCTTTTTCATATTGGGGAAAAATATACATTCACATCTATGTTCCTTTCCCAGACTATTCAGACAAAGAAGAGCCAGGGATGGGCCCCTCTTCTGATTGTTCTCAATTCAGGAGAGTTTGCAAAGATGCCATAGCAATACACACAATTACCTTCCCTCACTGACTACAACTATGGGGGAATTATTTAGAAAATATCACTGTGCCCAGATGGCTTATATTTACATCTCACTCTCCTCAGTGGTTTCCGCTTTGTTAAATGTGTCAACACAAAGTGAATTTCACTTTACTAATGGAATCGAATAGGGAGGAATCAGAAATAATGGCCCTAAAATGTGCCAAAAAGATATCCCTGAATTATTCTACCTCCCAGATAGGTATCTACTTCGGCATCATATTTGGATGCCTAAGGGTTGTAAATCACTTCTATTGCTGTGTGAATTACATTACTTATCTTTTCTCTGAAATATTGGTTGAATTGCCTAAATGGAACTCTATCTTTTTGTTTAGCTGTAGTCAAGTAATTAAAAAGCATATTTTGTGGAGATTTTAATATTTTTAAATCTTTCAATTAAATTTCTTTAAAAATGGAAAAGTCAAATAATATTATTTTTTAACTTAGAAAGTCAAATTTTTCCACTGATATTGAAATAAGACTTAAGTTAACAAAGTTACATTAGGTCTTTAGGTCAAATCAAACACTTAACACATTAAACCCTGTTCTTTCTTTTAGGGACTGAAGCCATATTTTTTTTTCCTTCACTTTAAGTGAGAGTATATATATTACTGTAATCCCTTGACTTCCAACCCAGAAATGAGAAGTGCAAAGTGTCCTGGCGAAGGTAAGTAAAAATATCTGCAAAAAATGTATTTGCTCTTTAGAAAACGATGTTTGATAGGATTCTTTTCATTTTGTCTAGTACTTTTTTTTCATTTTAAATTTTATTAGGACGAACTATGTGGATTGTACAATATATTTGACTTCAACGCTGCACATCTAAAGCAATTTTAAAATTCAGACTTTAATAAATGATAAACTTGATTATTAAGCCCAGTAGAATATAAGGTCCTTGAGGATGGGGATTTTTTTTTTGCACTGTATCGTCCTTTTTTAACATAGGACCTTGATAGTAGGTTAGAAATATGCTTGCTGAATGAATGAATGAATGAATAAATGGATAAATAAAGGAACCTAAGACTAGAAAAGGAAAAGAGATTGTCATGTAACAAAAACAAGGGATAATAGGCACATAGAATAAATTTTGCTCTCTATTAAATGTTAAAAGGAAAATCACAGACAAGGACCACAGTGTAAAAGCAAGCATGAATCGCTTGTGATACAATCTGCACCAGTGGAGATTATATTTATAACAATGAGATCAAAGTTTTATTAAAGAAGAAAACAGATAATAATAATTGTATTTTGTATTATACAGAGTTGAAGTGATAAAATGATTTTGTACAAACTTTGCAATTGTATGGTGGTGATTTTTGTAGATATAAACAAATGAAGTTACCCTTTTGTTAAGAAGTAGTTCAAATGCTCATCCATTGTTATCAGCTGATATGTTGACTTTATGACCTCACAGCTGAATGTTGCAGTAGCCCACTGGTTGTTTTCCCAGCCTGTAGTCTCTCACCATTCCAGTTGATCCTCCATTTACGCACCTGTCAAATTCATCTTTTGAAAACAAATGTCTGACCATTTCTCTCCTCTCCCACTACTAATAAACTCCAATGGTTTCTTATTTCCTGAAGGATCAGATAAGAACTCCTCTAATTGTCATTTAAAGCCTTTCTTAACCTAGCCCTTTCCATACTTACCAGGCTCCTTACACCTTAATGCCTTCCGAGTACTATTTTGTAATCCATTGCCACTTGTCTCCATGCTGTGTCTCATAAATGACACTCTATATCCAGGAGAGAGAGACAGAGAGACAGAGAGAGACAGAGAGAGACAGAGAGACAGAGACAGAGAGACAGAGAAACAGAGAGAGATGGAGAGACAGAGAGACCAAGAGAGACACACAGAGAGAGACAGAGAGAGAGCTTGGTAATTGACCCTTATCTTGCCAAGTGATCTTCAGAAACTTCCTAAGACAATTACAAAAGAAGTGATTCAGTTTCCTGGCATGGCACTGGTAGCCTATCCAGGATTCACAGGTATATATCAGTGAGGTCAGCAGAATGGCTCTATAGACCTTCAGTTTGGTAGACAGCCTAATATCTCTTCTCTTACATATTTTTCTTTGGAGCTTTTCAAACGCTGAGCTAGCTCTGACAATGTATGTGTCAACCTGATCATCTCTGTGTACATCTCTGGAAAGTGTACTGCCAGGGAAAGTGAACTTATCTACCGCATTCAAAAATATTTGATTTGCTGTAACTGGTGGTTCCACCTGTGGGTGATGAGATGCTGGCTAGTGGAGAACTTCTGTTTTCTTGATGTTGTCAAGCTAGATTAGCATATGCAGTAGAAAATCAGGTCTTTTCCCTGTTGTGTCTTAGCCTAAGAGGCTGCATTGAGTGCACAATCATCTGCTCACAAAAAGTCACTCAATAGCTCTTTCTCCACTTTGGTTTTGATTTGGTGCCTTTTCAAGATAAATAATTTACCGTCAGAGAGGTAGCTGATCTTCATACTGTTTTCTTCCTTGTTGAAAACATCTGACACCACTGAAAATATAATGCTAAGTAGCATGAAAGCAAGCACGCAGCCATGCTTCACTCCATTGGTAACTGGGAAAGCTTGGGAGCATTGTCCAGTATCCAAACACATGCAAACTTGTCATGGTGAAACTGATATTCAGTACCGATGAACTTCTGCAGGCAACCAAATTTTGCCATGATCTTCCACAAGCCCTCATGACTGATACTATCAAAGGCCTTTGTCAGATAAATGAATGTTATATGCAGAGCTCTGTTCTGCTCCTGGAAATTTTCCTGCAGTTGTAGGGGAGTGAACACCTTATTGACAATTCCTTGGCCCTTTCTGACACCACACTGGCTCTCAGGTAGATAACTATGGAGGACTCTAGCAAGACTCTTGCTGGCAATGACTAAGACAGAGACTCCTCTGTGGTTGTTACAGGTAAACTGATTTTCTTTTCCTTTACAGAGATGGTCAATGGAGGCATTCTTGAACTCCTGGGGGATAATATCCTCTTGTCATATAACTAGGAAGATTTCTGTCAACTTTTGCATGAGAAATGGACCCTGTGCTTTGTAAATCTCATTTGGAATAGAATCATGACCAGGTGCTTTGCCATACAAGAATCATCTAATGGCTTTGAACATCTCTTCTTCAGTTGGAAGTTCGGCTAGTGAGGAATTGACTTCAACCTGAGGTTCACAGTCAATGGCCTCATCATTGGTTCATAATAATCTGTTGAGAACAGTGTTCACCTCATCTCTCCAGGATCATGTTCTTATCACTAATCAATGTAGCTCCATCAGTGCTTAGTAGCTGAGACACACCATACATCTCTGGCCCATAAACAGCCTTTGAGGCACTGTGAAACAGCTTTGGATTGCTATTATCAGTGTAAAACTGAATTTCATCTGCCTTCTTACTGAGCCAAGACTCCTGCATTTCTCTAAGATTCACTTGTACTTTATTTTTGGTAGGGCTAAAAGATACCTTCAGAGAGATGGACAAAATACAGTGCTGGTAAAAACCTGTGGAGTTCCTCTCCCTCTCTCTCTCTCTCTCTCTCTCTCTCTCTCTCTCTCTCTCTCTCTCTCATTTAGCAGTTCCTGAATTTCTCTGTTTTTCAAAATCAAAACCAATTTTAATGTTTTTGAGTATCCTGGCCCAGAAGAGTAAATGTGGTGCTGTACCACAAAGCTTTGAAAGCTGCCCACTCTTTTTCTGCTCCATTGTTATCAATCATATATTGGCTCAGCTTTCCCTCCAAGTTAGTAGGAAACTGTTAACAATGAAAAATACTCAAATCTGTTGACATTAAATCTTCTTGTAGTTGTCTTGCCTTGGAGCCCAATGCTTTTGTTGAATGCAAATACCTAGCTTCGAGAGATGAGGGAAACGCTGATTTCCCTCATATTAATAATCAATTATTAACTGAGATTAAGACTTTTTTTCTATTACTTCATTCAAAATCCAGTGTTTCAAGATTTCTGACCTTGACCAAAAATTTACCCAAACCAGACCGTCTTATCTTACCCTCCCCAACTAGAAAACCTAACAAAGGTAATCTAATCCAGGTGAATTCTGACCCATTGTGTTCTATTCAGACAGGGTTTTTTTTTGGCGGGGTGTAGATCCCTTTGTCAAGATTGCCCAAGGATGGGGGATAGCCTGGGAGTAAGAGTGACATAATCAAAGTCAGGTCCCCCAGCTCTTCATTAGAAAAGGTCTACCTCTCATTATAATATTCATCCAGTCATTAATTGTTAACCAATCAGAGTTGATTGCCACCTGTCAGGAATACTCACACTGCCAAGGACATATAATCACTAAGAGGCCTACATGATTCATTTTTGGTTTAGGAAAGAAGGCAAAATGACCATGCTTTTATTAATTACTTGCTAGCCATATATTAATTACCCAGAAATTATTTCTCAAACTTTTCATATGTCACAAGGATAAGGCTATGATTGCTAAAGTACTCTGTGCCACACATTGCCTTCATTCACATTCTGTCTGTCTCTTCTCCTCACAATGACATAGTCTATTAAATGCCAATGTTTCCTGTTAGGGTGCATCCATGAAATTTTACTGCATTTAGGTAAATGGAAGACAGTGTTGATGATAAGAAGGTCATGAGACATATATATCTCCTTTAGTAAATGACCATTGCTGTTGTGGTTTATGACTCTATTCTTGCAAGGACTCCCTGCCATGTCTGATAGTCTGTGCCTACTCTGGCATTAAAGTCACACAAAATTACAAGTTTGTCCTCTCTTGGTACATCAATGATGAGCATCTCTAGATCTTCATAAAATTTTTCTTTGATCTCACCAGGGTTCATCAATTTGGGAGCACACACACTGATGAAAATGGCATGGCACTTTCCTGAAAGTGGCAATCATGTTGTTATGATTAGTTCTCTCCTTTTGAGAGGCTTACAAGCTTGTTGACTAGATTAGATTTAATTGCCAAATCTACAGGAGTCCTTATTACAATGACCACTCCAGAAAAATGTGTATCCAGCTCTGACTTTGGTAAGCTAGTTTTCATTTACAAACCTTGTTTCAATCAGGGCTGCTATTTGGATTTGATACTTGCCAAGTTCTCTTGTAGCAAGACCTGTCCATATTTCAGGTCTAATGGATTTTGTCTTGTCCATAAGCATGCACACATTCCATGCACCAATGGTAAATGGCATCATCTATGCAAAAGTTCGTGTACATTTTTTTTTTTTTTGTATTTCAGCCATAGGGTAGGATTCCTGCCTGCTGCAGTAAGCAGGGCAGGGTTAGGTTAGGTAAAGTTAGGTCATATTTTCTATAGTCTTCCTTATGGCAGTAGGTAAACAGTGTGGTCCTTAAGAAAGGCTGCTCAGAAGCCCAGGGGGCTGCTGAATCCCAGTGTTGGATCATTCTAATAAGAAGACAACCCTATAGCCTGGACTACCTGTGTGCAAGGGTTGTGACTACAACTCCCAGTGTATTTGCACCTGCTGCTTCATCACTTGCCAATCACCATAGGACTTTGAGCTAGGTAAAAATGGTAAAACGTTATGGGTGATTTCTTTTGACTAGTGCATAAATTGGATTTAAGTCATGTAGAATTGTTGGCCCCACTTTCTCATCCAGAATCATGAAAGTCTAATGGCAGGTCAAGATGACTGGCAATGTCTTGGGATGCAGTAAATGACTT